AGGATGTGGATCTGGGGGATGCAGAGCAGGGGATGTAGATGCAGGGGGTGTGGATCCAGGGGATGCAGAGCAGGGGGATGTGGATCCAGAGGATGTGGATCTGGGGGATGCAGAGCCGGGATCCCCCGGCCCACGCCTCATTCCCCATGCGAGGGCTCCGCGTGCTCCGTACCTGGGATTTGAGCGACATCAGGTGCTGATGGTCCTGGAACCGCCTCCTCTCAAAGTCCTCGAGCTTCTCTTTGAGCTGCTGCTGCTGCTCCGAGCGCCTCCAGAGCTGCTCCTGCTGCCGCTGCCGCTGCTCGTCCTCCTTCTCCGCGCGCACCCTCTGCCCCAGCTCCCGCAGGTACTGATCCCCTGGGGAGCACAGGGGTGTGGCAGGACCATCCCAAAATCACACCTGGACACCTCCCACCCCAACTCCCGCAGGTACTGCTCCCCTGGGGAGCACAGGGGTGTGGCAGGAGCATCCCAAAATCACACCTGGACATCCCCCACCCCAGCTCCCGCAGGTACTGATCCCCTGGGGAGCACAGGGATGTGGCAAGAGCATCCCAAAATCACACCTGCACATCCCCCATCCCACCCCCCGCAGGTACTGATCCCCTGGGGAGCACAGGGGTGTGGCAGGAGCATCCCAAAATCACACCTGCACATCTCCCCACCCCACCCCACCCTGCCCCAGCCCCAATGTTACTCCACATCCTGATGGAATGCTCCGGGATGCTCCTCCTCCTGAGGAATTCCTGCAGCACGGCAGCCGCCTGTGGGAGCGCAGGGAGGGGGCTCAGGGTGGGGGGTGTTGGGGTGATGGAACGGGTCCCGGAGCCGCTGCCCTGCTGGGAGCCGTCCCCACCTTCAACCCCTTGCCGGGCAGGTTCCAGTATTTCACCACCAGCGCCTGCAGGTATCCCCCGGGCAGGCCGTGGGATCTGTCCCGGTTCCGTGTCTCCATGTCCCGGGACAGGTTCTGGAGGGTCTCCTCGCACCTGGCGCGGGACAGGCGCTCGTTGTTCGAGAAGAACTTGTCCCTCAGGGCCTCCACCTGGCGCTGCGGAGATTGAGGGGTCGTGGAGTGGGAATTGGGATCCCGCGGGACGTCGGAGTCTCCGGGTCAACGTGGGGGGGGACTGAGACCCTCCGGGTTGAGGTGGGAGCTGGGATCCCCCCGGGGGCTGACAGGGAGATCGAGATTCCGAGGTTGTCGTGGGAATTGGGGTCTCCAGGTGGATGTGGGAATTAATTGCCACATCCTGGGTCAGCGTGGGAAGCGGGATCCCAGGATTGACACATGAATTGGGATCTCCAGGGCACCATGGGAATTGCCACCCCTGGGTCAGCATGGGAAGCGGGATCCCAGGATTGACACATGAATTGGGATCTCCAGGTGGATGTGGGAATTAATTGCCACATCCTGGGTCAGCGTGGGAAGCGGGATCCCAGGATTGACACATGAACTGGGGTCTCCAGATGGATGTGGGAATTAATTGCCATCCCTCAGTCAGCGTGGGAAGCGGGATCTCAGGATTGACACATGAACTGGGGTCTCCAGGTGGATGTGGGAATTAATTGCCACCCCTGGGTCAGCGTGGGAAGCGGGATCCCAAGACTGACACATGAATTGGGATCTCCAGGTGGATGTGGGAATTAATTGCCACATCCTGGGTCAGCGTGGGAAGCGGGATCCCAGGATTGACACATGAACTGGGGCCTCCAGGTGGATGTGGGAATTAACTGAGATCCTGAGTCAAGGTGGGAACTGGGAATTCCCAGATCAACACCCACAGGTCAGCGTGGGATCCCACCTACCATGAACTCGTCCTGGCTATTGCGGATTCCATCCGGGAAAGCCCGCTCCATGAACAGCTCCAGAGCCTCTCGCTCGCAGCGCCTGTGGAGCCGCAGCAGCTCCGTCACCGTGTCCACGGGCAGCTCCAGGCCCTCCGTCCGCTCCCGGTAGAGCTGCAGGGCCGCCGCCACCGCCGCCGCGTTGGCCGCCGGGGCCACGTCCCGGATGGCGCGCTCCAGGCACGGCACCGCTCCCGCCCGGATCTGCTCCACGTAGATCTCTGCCAGCCTCCCCAGAACTGCCGGGAGAGAGAGAGAGAGGATTTGGGAAGGGAGGGGAGAGAGGGACCCCCCCAATCACCGAGGGGTCACCGAGCCCTGGGGGTCGTGGGGTCGGTCGTGGAATGGCGGGATCTGCCGGGCCGGGAGGGACCTGCGGGAACCACCGACCGAGTCACAGGATGGGGAGATTGTGGAATCCCCTGGGTCGGGAGGGTCATGGAATCTTGGAGTCATGGAATATCTATGGTAGGGAGGGGACCCAGGGATCATGGAATCATGGAATCACGAGATCCCAGAACCCCCTGGGTTGGGAGGGTCATGGAATCTCGGGGAGTCATGGAATATCTACGGTAAGAGGGGACCCGAGGATCATGGAATCACAGAATCCCCTGGGTTGGGAGGGCCATGGAATCTTGGAGTCATGGAATATCTGTGGTAGGGAGGGACCCAAGGATCATGGAATCACGGAATCCCCTGGGTTGGGAGGGCCATGGAATCTTGGAGTCATGGAATGTGTAGACCCAAGGATCACGGAGTCATGGAATCACGAGATCGTGGAACCCCCTGGTTTGGGAGGGTCATGGAATCTCGGAGTCATGGAATATCTACGGTAGGAGGGGACCCAAGGATCATGGAGTCACGGAATCTTGGAGTCATGGAATGTCTAAACCCAAGGATCATGGACTCATGGAATCTCGGGGAGTCATGGAATGTCTAGACCCAAGGATCATGGACTCACGGAATCTTGGAGTCATGGAATGTCTAGACCCAAGGATCATGGACTCATGGAATCTCGGAATCCCCTGGGTTGGGAGGGCCATGGAATCTCGGGGAGTCATGGAATATCTATGGTAGGGAGGGACCCAAGGAAAGGATCATGGAATCTTGGAGTCATGGAATGTCTATGGTAGGGAGGGACCCAAGGATCATAGAGTCATGGAATCTTGGAGTCATGGAATATCTATGGTAGGGAGGGACCCAAGGATCATGGAATCACGGAATCCCCTGGGTTGGGAGGGCCATGGAATCTTGGAGTCATGGAATGTCTAGACCCAAGGATCATGGAGTCATGGAATCACGAGATCGTGGAACCCCCTGGTTTGGGAGGGTCATGGAATCTTGGAGTCATGGAATATCTATGGTAGGAGGGGACCAAAGGATCATGGACTCATGGAATCTTGGAGTCATGGAATGTCTAGACCCAAGGATCATGGACTCATGGAATCTTGGAGTCATGGAATGTCTAGACCCAAGGATCATGGACTCACGGAATCACGGAATCCCCTGGGTTGGCAGGGCCATGGAATCTCGGGGAGTCATGGAATATCTATGGTAGGGAGGGACCCAAGGAAAGGATCATGGAATCTTGGATTCATGGAATGTCTGTGGTAGGGAGGGACCCAAGGAAAGGATCATGGAATCTTGGAGTCATGGAATATCTATGGTAGGAGGGGACCCAAGGATCATGGAATCACGGAATCCCCTGTGTTGGGAGGGTCATGGAATCTTGGAGTCATGGAATGTCTCTGGCAGGGAGAGACCCAAGGATCACGGAGTCATGGAATCACGAGATCGCGGAACCCCCTGGGTTGGGAAAGTCATGGAATCTCAGAGTCATGGAATATCTACGGTAAGAGGGGACCCAAGGATCATGGACTCACGGAATCTTGGAGTCATGGAATGTCTAGACCCAAGGATCATGGACTCACGGAATCTTGGAGTCATGGAATGTCTAGACCCAAGGATCATGGACTCATGGAATCTTGGAGTCATGGAATGTCTAGACCCAAGGATCATGGACTCATGGAATCTTGGAGTCATGGAATGTCTAGACCCAAGGATCATGGACTCATGGAATCACGGAATCCCCTGGGTTGGGAGGGCCATGGAATCTTGGAGTCATGGAATATCTATGGTAGGAGGGGACCCAAGGAAAGGATCATGGAATCTTGGAGTCATGGAATGTCTATGGTAGGGAGGGACCCAAGGATCATGGAATCACGGAATCCCCTGGGTTGGGAGGGCCATGGAATCTCAGAGTCATGGAATATCTATGGTAGGGAGGGACCAAAGGATCATGGACTCATGGAATCTCGGAGTCTCCTGGGCTGGGAGGGATTATGGAATCGTGAGATCATGGAAACACGGAATATCCCCCAGCTGGGAGGGACACCAGGATAGCTGAGTCACGGAATTCTGGGATCACGGAGGCAAGGACTGTCCTGAGCTGGAGAGAGCCCGCAGGATGATGGAATGATGGAATGATGGGACCATGGAATATTCTGAGCTGGAAGGGACACCCAAAGGTAATGGAGTCACGGAATCGTGGAATGAGGGGATCGTGGAACGAGGGAATCACGGAACACCCCCCCCGGATGGGAGGAACCCACCAGGATCGCTGAGCCACAGAATCACGGGATCATGGAATTATGGAATCTCCTGGGACTGGGAGGAGGGGGGGGGGGGCCCACAAGAACCCTCGAGCGGCTGAACTCGACGATCCCAGAGGTCTTTTCCCACCTCAACAACCTCCTGATTATTCCGCCCTCCCGAATCCAACAATCCCTGGGCCCAACACACTCACGTTCCCCGGTGACGACGAGGCCCCCGGGCAACGTTTTCGTCTGCGCCTCCTCCCGGAGGAACGTGAGGAACTTCTGCTCCTGCAGCCCGGCCGGGGTCTCCTCCGGGTGCCCCTGGATCAGGAAGCACCGGCGCTCCGGGAAGAACTGCCGGATGCACTCCCGGGGCAGGTTGTGCCGCTGGGCCCGGGTGTTGGTACCTGCGGGGTGGGGTGGGGTGGGGTGGGGGGAGACCACGGGGCGTCACCTGGGGCGGGGTCGCACCTGGACATCCCTCACCTGTGCCCTCACCTGGACATTCCTCACCTGGACATCCCTCACCTGGACATTCCTCACCTGTGCCCTCACCTGGACATC